AACACCCACTATATATATATAATACGCCATATATATATATATATATATATATATATATATACATATATTACGCCTCAATTATGAATTAAATACGCCCCAAATATATATAACCTATGCCCCAAATACTAAATGTGTATAAACTACGCCGCAAATGTATATATAAACTACGCCCCAAATATAGATAAACTGCGCCCCAAATATATATAACCTATGCCCCAAAAATATATCAACTACGCCCTAAATATGTATAACCTACGCCCCAAATATATAAACTACGCGTACAATATATATCAACTACGCCATATATATATATATAAACTACGCCCTAAATTTATATAAACTATAGCTTACTATACAAACTGCACGCATACCACCTTAGTCACGTGGCAGCAGCCACAGCCTCGTAGGCCCATCGATAGCACGTACCTGGCGATTACTGCCTGTGGGCATGCTGAATTCCAGCCGTCCGGTGGTGTCCCCAGGGTACAACATCTTCTGCGCATAAGACCTGTAAGGCGTGGCACCTTTTCCAATCGACGCCAACGTCCCATACGCTGACGAGTCAGAGGATAGATACATCCACCCCTCTGAACACACAACAGGACCACGGTATGAGAAGATAAGATTATCAACACAGTCATTAGCAACCTATGAGTACGACATCGGCACACCCCTCTGAACACACAACAGGACCATATATGAGAAGATAAGATTATAAACACAGTCATTAGCAACCTATGAGTACGACATAGGCCCACCCCTCTGAACACACAACAGGACCATGGTATGAGAAGACAAGGATCATAAACACAGTCATTAGCAACCTATGAGTACGACATACGCCCATCCCTCTGTGTACAAGGTTTGACCATAGAGTGGGTTGGATGTAATCTGAACAAGCTGTATGTAGCAGCCAATATAAAAACATACATCCCACCATTTGTGCACATAATTGGTCATAGGAGTAGCATGTACTTAACTTTACAATAGAAACTAATGGATATAGAAGACAAACACTTCCCTGCACACACGTGTGGCTACGGAGTGAGCACAGCGCGTAGCCAACCCTTTATACACAGAACATCGGTTACCGAAATATGCGCCCCAAGACACTGGCGGTAGGCATAACGTAGGTATACAACACATCCACACTCCATAGTTTGTCATTGGTGGACACAGGGCCTCAGTCAGAGCAGTGAAACAGAGAAATACAACACTATCTGCGAACCAAAAAAAGAAACACTACACAATCTACGAATAAACACGGCAAGGCAATAGTACGTGATGGCACACAAGTCGTTGGAAGAAAGGTGCATGTGCATAACGCGGTGATTACAGCCCACTCTTAAGTACCACCACATCCTACTTCCCCCGAGCAACACGTGCGTGTATATGCCCGTGTGGTATGTGTGTACTGTGTACGGCCCACTCACCAATGGTGATAGGCCCCCCCCCAAAGCGAGAGATGTTGTCCGTTGGGTCTGTGTAGTTCTGCAGTGGCCACTCAAAGTAAGGTGCGTACATGTAGTCATTAACGCCGTCGCACCGGATGGCACGCCCACCGCTGCCTAGCAGCGGCAGCACCGCCTGCTCAATCTCGATCCGCAATGTGATTGGCTGAGACGAGTTCCCGCCCGCGCCGTCGCTAAGCAACGCCGTCGTCAGGCGCACAGTATAGGACAGGTTGCCATAGAAACTGGCGTTAGGGGTGAAGGTGAGTGATGTCCCCAGCCCTTGTACAGGTAGCACTGTGTCCAGTTCACTGGCAGTCCCGTTGTCGGCTGTGACAGTAAACGTACCCGCATCGGGCGCATTAGTTACGTTTAAGCTGGCGTGTGGTTCCTCTATTACAGTGTATAGGAAGTTGGCCTCTGGATACGGGAACTGTAGGTATTGAAAAAGGTGTAGTGATTTGCCCATGTGAGTCATCGTCTGTGCATGTGAGTCATCGTCTGTGGCTGCATTGGTACGATGAGCGTCTATACTTAATTATTGATATTATCTCGTGCCGTACACATGCCAACCACATGAGCAACAAAGGTGTGCGCCTGCAGGTATACGTGTGGGCGTACCCACTCGCGCATTCATATGTATATGACATTCACCTGTATATGTATATGCATTGACATGTATACGACATTCACCTGTATATGTATATGCATTGACATGTACATGACATTCACCTGTATAAGTATATGCATTGACATGTATATGACATTCCCATATGTATATGCATTCACATGTATATAACATTCACCTGTATATGGTTATTTTGTCATGTGTACGATTATATTCCCCACGTGTGTGTGTGCGTGGTAACGCAAGCGAAACTACACAGCTGCCTGCAACTGCCGTGACCTCGTGCGTGTGCGCCATTGCTCACCACGCGTGTCCTCGCCCACAGCAACACTGCACCTCAGTTCACCCACTACTGTGCGTGTGCGCGTACACACACATCCCCATACCTTGATTGTCAACTCTATGGCCATGCCTACTACTGTGCGTGTGCGCGTACACACACATCCCCATACCTTGATTATCAACTCTATGGTCATGCC